TTCACTTTTTCAAGGTTTTGGTTATTCCACATTAAATTATTTTTTGAATCTTCTACTTAAATTAGGTCTTGTACCACCATTGCTAGATTTGCTTCTAGATATTTTGGTTTTTTTAATGCCATTGTAAATGATATGGTTTCTAAGATTTTATTTTGTAAATGTTTGTTACTGGCATGTAAAAATAGGATTACATTTTAAAATATTGAATAGCTATCTGGCTAAGTTTGTCTATTAATCTAATCTTTTATTATATGAATTTATTGAGATTTTTTTTTACACACCAATCATGGTTTCTGTGAATAAAAATGCTTTTATTTCTTTCTTTATACTTCTTATACTTAGCATATCTAGAACATTATGGAATAGAAGTGGTAATAGGTGGTTTTGTCTTATTTTTTATATCATAAGGAAAGGTTTCAACATTTTACCATTAAATATGATGTTGATTGTAGTTTTCTTATAGCTGCTTCTTATTAAGAAAATGTTCTCCTAATCTGAGTTTGCAAAAAAGGCATTTTTTTCTTTTTTACATGGATGGATGCTGCATTTATCAAATGCCTTCTCTGCATTTATTGAAATTGCATTTATGTTTCTCCTTTATCCTGTTAATGTAGTAAATAACATTGATTGATATCCAAATATTAGTTCAACCATACATTCTTGGAATAAGCACACATCATTTAATTTTCACTGGATTCAGTTCGGTAGGAATTTTCCATGAACATTTATGAAAGATTGTAATTTTCCTTTAATGTAATGACTTTATTGGGAACTAATATCAAGGTTACATTGGCCTCATAAAATAAGATAGGAAGTGCTCCATCTTTCATTCTCTGGAATAGTTTCTGTATGACTGATAATAATTTTTTCTTCAAATGTTTAGTAAATTCACTGAAGAGGCCATCTGGGCCTGCAGGGTTTTTTGTTTGGTTTGGTTTTAGATTTGCAAGTTGCTTTTTTTTGTGGTAAGACTTTAAATATAGAATCATTTTAATATAAAGAACAACTCAGATATTTTCTTTCTTCCCATGCAGTTTTAACAAGGTTTTTATTTTAAAGAACTTATCTAAAATTTCAACTTTATTACCATAATGCTGTTAAATAAAAACTCCTCATATTTTTAATGTCAATAAGATTGACAGTGATGTCCCCTTTCAATCCTGATATTGGCTATTTACCCCAATAACTCTAATCAGAATTTGTCATTTTTGTTAATCTCCTCAAAGAATTTGTTAATTTTGTTTGGCTTTGGTATTCCCTTCCAGTATGTTTGATTTCTATTTCATTCATTTCACTTTCTTATTATTTCTTCTCCCACTGTCTTATGGTTTTATTTGATCTTCAATTGTGTTTTGAACTTAAGAAGTCTTCTCTCAACAAAACTAAATGACTTGATCTTCCCCAGATACTCTTCATACTTTCCAACCTCCTTGCCTTTACTCCTATAGTCCCTGCTGTTTATAACCCATCCCTATCCCCTTTATTAAAATCATGCCAACTTTTCAAGGCCCTCCCCAAATGCTACTTCTTCCAGGAATCATTCCCTGAGCTTCTCTCATTTGATATCATTTGAGCCTCTGCAGTCCAATTTGCTGTTCTTAGGTCACTATTTAGATCCTAACTCATGTACTTCCTTCCATTAGCCCCATTAAAACCGAGTGCTTAATTTTTCTAAAAGGTCTACCATGGTGCTGTGCACAAAATAGCTACTCAGTCAACACAGGTGTTTGTGATTCAACTTCAGGAGTTAAATTCACACCAATTAAACCCATTCACAGCAGGAATTTTTTATTGGTAACTCAAATATTCAAACACATCATAAGAAGAATTTGGGCTAAAAAAAGGAAAGAAGTCTCATCTCTTTTTTTTAAAGTCTTCCTTGCTTCCAAATAACAACTATATATCATCCAGAGCTAACATTTAACTTGACATTTTGCTTTTTCTGGCTATCACTTAAAACCCACATTTTCCCCCCTTATTTAAGGAAAACAGTTAAATGGGACAAAGTTTTTTTCTTAAGTTAAAAGATGAGAAGATGAAATTTCTCAAGAAAAAAAATAAGCTAAAAGATAATTTCTGGTATCATAAATGGATATTGCAAATCAAAAACACAGGGCTTTGCAAGTTTGAATGAGTTTTGCTCCAATTGTTATAAAGACTTCAGGACAAGACTTAAAACTCGGGGGTGGGGGACACTACAAGTATATGTTGGCTATAGAAGTAAAGTATATATCTGGAGCCCTATTTGGAGGGCTGATAAAATTTATACATAAAAGGATGACTCTCGTCTCTTGGCACAAAGCAGATAACACCTTCCTCAAAATATCAGAGACCTCTCCAGCTCTCGAGAGCTGCCTCAATTTGTTCTATGATACAAACTCTAGTGCATAATTTCCAAAATAAGTTTTGAAAGAAAAACCAGTTGAACCTATGGGCTGTCTTTAGTAAAAGCATACTAAAGGAATAGAAAGTTTAGGAACTCTGGAGGAAAAACCTATATGCAGATCTCAGCTGCCAACAACCTAGATGTAGGATCTTAGCAGATTGCTTATCCTCCCTAAAACACAACTTTCTCATCTGTGAAATGGGGCTAATTATGCCTATCCACAGGTTTTTATATGTCAGGTGCCCTATGTATGGCTTTCCATGTACGGTTAGTGGTATTTGGGCTGTAGATTGTCACAAATGCAGCAAGGTGGTATTTTTTATTATTATTGCTCTTTGTAAAGGCACGGAGTGGGGCATAGTTTGAAGGCCTAAAAGCTATCATAATGGCTTGGCTAAAACAACTAGGCTTGAAACAAATTTTCTAATAACACCTCATCCTGAGAGAAGAAATCATCCTAAGTAGAGTGCAGTGTTTAGACTCAAACTAGTAAGAGTTCAAAAGATGGCAGAAATAAACATAGGAAGGCCCTAGAGCCAAAGAAAACATTTCAGCCACCAAGTGGCGTTCCTGACTAGATCCCAGTACTCAAATGAAGTTCAAACTGGGAATTGGGATGCATTCAATGGCCTAGGTTTGAACTTGAAATACCTCCTTTCCTAGATGTTTAACCTTGGGAAAAATTGCCACTATAGCTCTTACCTTCTCCATGTTCCAGTGCATCCCTTCCACCTAGTGGAACTGAATTGGCTGGATTTGACCAAATATCAGCATATCTTTTAAGAGAAACTTAACACAATTGCAGCTCAGCTCCACCTCATGCAGAAGAACAGCAGCCATCTACCTGAGCACAAAGACAAGGCTAGGTCTTTAGTTTTAATAATAAAAGAAAAACCTCACCACTGGAAGTTTAGCACCTGAATGCAAAGTCATATTCTTTGATCAACAGCACCTCCACATCAGCAACTTAGTCAAGCTCAATGTTGAATTGCTCACTGCTCATTTCCCATAGAAAAGCCTGGTGGAGACAAATATTACTCAAGAAGAACCACTCATGACTCTTAAGTGACTAGCTACTAGCTTGTCATGTGACAGGAAAGCTAAACATCCCACACCTCTCACTTTAGTTACCACAGAAATACTGTTATCTAGTGACATTATGCCCATAGCTTCTTAATCCACTTTAGATAACAAGTTCACCAGATCAATTTTCTGCAACTTTTACTAAGTCTCTTATGGCACTCATTTAGGTCCCAGTTGATAAATTCTGTTGAAGTTACTGCTAGCATAAAGTTTGTTTCTTTTGATGAATGAGTGCCCTTTAATTTATTAAGCAAATGAGAACTAGGAAACCTTGTGCATTTCTTTTTTAGTCTGGACTGTTAAGTTTAGAATGAAGTTTATATTCCATCACATTATTTTTATTCTGGGGTTGATTTCTTTTTTGCATTTTCTTAAAACACAACTTTCTTCCTAACCCTTCTTTTTGTGATTATTAGAGCTGTTATAGCCATCTTGCTCAGATGGGCAGACAAGGACTGTCTGAAAATAAGAGTTTACATGAAGGAAGCTAAACTATAGAATGAAATGAGAAGAAATGGATCATTAACATCTTTTGAACCCCTGGATTAAGCTGTACCTGAAGCAAAACCCCATTTTCCTCCTGTTGAGTGATCCGATAAATTTCCTTTTGGCTTTAGCCATTTTGAATTAGATTTTCATTCACTTGGAAGATTTAACAAAGAAAACAATTTTAAGATTATCTGACAAGTACTGTCATTACTGTAATTCATTTTTCTTAAAAAGAAACAGGGGACACCTGGGTGGCTCAGTGGTTGAATGTCTGCCTTGGGCTCAAGTCGTGATCCCAGGGTCCTGGGATGGAGTCCCCGCATTGGGCTCTCCTCAAGGAGCCTGCTTCTCCCTCTGCCTATGTCTCTGCCTCTCTCTCTGTGTCACTCATGAATGAATGAATGAATGAATGAATGAATGAATCTTTTTAAGAAAGGGGAAGGAAGGAAGGAAGGAAGGAAGGAAGGAAGGAAGGAAGGAAGGAAGGAAGGAAGGAGAAAAGGAAAAAAAGGAAAAAGGAAAAGGAAGGAAGGAAGAAGGAAGGAAGAAGGAAGGAAGAAGGAAGAAAGAAAGAAAGAAAGAAAGAAAGAAAGAAAGAAAGAAAGAAAGAAAGAAAGAAAGAAAGAAAGAAAGAAAGAAAAAAAGAAAGAAAGAAGAAAGAAAGAAAGAGAAGAAAGAAAGAAAGAAAGAAAGAAAGAAAGAAAGAAAGAAAAAAAGAAAGAAAGAAAGAGAAACTGGATACAGTTTTATGAATGAATCTAAGTGAAATTTTTGGACATCATCTTTATGTCCTGTCAAATTTATAGTAAATGTAGGTTAAAACATTCCTTTAAAGGAAGTAGCATTAAAGAAAAAAAGGGGGAAAAATCTTTTTAACTACCATTTTTATTGACAGCACTCCATGAGAGCAGAAAAGAGGAGCTTAGTAAAGAATCTTTAGACATAAAAGCAAGAAAAGGAGGAGCATTCGTTACACCATCTACAAGAAAGCTAATTTCTGTGAGAAATATACACAATGTTCTAGTGCAAACCTGTAACATACCTGCCAGAGCAAATCAGGATCAAAATTAAAACTTGGAGCTTCCTGCAAGAAGATAAATCACAAATAACTTCATTCACTTTGCTTCCTTTCATTTTCATTCAGATGACCCTAACCCCCTGGCTCAAGTGGCTGCAGTAGATGTGATGGCTGCAAGAGAATTACTCCCTCTTTGATGCTGGCAGATGGCCCTCCCCAATGCCTGCCCAAGGAGATATATTTTCACAATTTCTACAAGCCCAGAGGTGCACGTAGAGATCTAATGAAACTACCAGATCAAGTTTCTAAAACAGCTTGAATTAGGGCAAGATTTCACAGATTTTCCTAACAAACAACTTTCTCAAGTTGATACAAAGGTGTGGGGAAGATGAGGGGTCAGAAGTTCACCCTCAGTTTCTCTCAGAAGCAAGGGAATAGTAGAGGCAACTTATAAGCCCTTAATTCATGTCATCTCCCTGAAACTATAGGTCAAATTTTCCCTAGGAAAGTTCCTTTTAACTTCAGATTTTGCCAAGGCACCAGATAAGACCAATATTTACCCAAAGGTGCTTAAGTTAAAACACAACAGTGTCTTAAGTTCTACCCACCAGGTTTAAGGGTCAGCTGTATTTGATAGTCAACCCTAAGGCTTGTGAAATATGGGTTTTAAATATTCCCTCCAAATTCACAGGGATGTAATGTACAAAACTGGATAGATCACAGCCTCTGTCACAAGCTACACACAGCTGAAAAGATGACCCTCTACCATCTGCCTCCATAACTCAATTTTACATGGTGAATATAGATGCTAATGGGACCCAGACTTCACTGACAAAACAGAAGGCAGTGGTTTGTAAATTAATACACACCCAAAAAAACAGAAAAACTCCAGGCTCAATTCCCTGACAACTATATTGACCATTATTTGTCCTAAAAACGTGTTCTATAAATCAGCATCATTGGCATGCATAAAATACCAGACTCAATCTATTGATAATATTTGGATATGAGTTTGCCCTAAAAATCATATTTTATGGCCTCTCATATAGCTAGCCTAAATGAGTATATTTATTAACTTTTTTGTTTTCTACTAAAACATATAATACTAGAAACAGTCATAATTAAACAGATTTTTTTTTTTTTACTTTTAAAGGTCACCAAAAGGTATTAATTGTCTTTGAATAGAGACCTTTACATGGAAAATGCCCTCTCCATTGGAAGAGATGTCATTCCTGGTTTCTCCGAAGATTCCTGGAACTCACTCTTTCCCTTTTTTAAAAAGAAAAGATAGTTTGGAAATAGATTTTATGTGCATCCTCTTTCCCATTAGTAGCTGTGCCAGAGATTGGGGTGGTAGGTATGGAGGTGGGAGTGACTCTTTGCAAAAAAGTAAAATAAAGTCTTTAAAATCTTTTCTTTAAAAAAAGGGGGGGGGGGATAAAGCCCTAACCAAGTTTCAAGTTTGGTTCCAATGTTAAGTGAGAAAGAAATCTCAGTTATGAAATACTCCCCCACAAGTGTAAAATGTTAAGTTTCTTTTCAAAACAAGTTCAAATTACATAAATTTAAAATGAATTGAGGAGCCAAAATTAGCAAAGATTATTCAATCTTATTGGCATTTGGTTCCTTTGATGATATTTTTCAAACCAATGTGCTGCAAATACATTATGAGTGCCTCAACTCATGTAACCTCATTTGAGGGACACAGAGTTTTAAAAGCAAATGCTCTACATTATTTTCACAAAAATTCACTTGGATAAAGACATTGTCATTGACAAAAAAAAAAAGTCAGAATTGTACATGCTAAAAATTCAATAGCTGGTGTTAGTTTCTTTTTCACCAGGACTTAGGAATTTTTTGGCAGATAGTTCAAAATCATGTACTATAAAAAAGAAAAATCATTATCCTATCCTATCAGCAAGCTGCAGAATTCTCTTGTAGGCTAATGATGATAAGCAAACTCTCAAGTGTTAAACTCTGGAATTACCAAATTGCAAACATCATTGTTAGGAATTTTTTTTCTTCATGAAACAATTTAAATCAAGAATTATTTACTCTTAAGATAAACACTATTTGCTTCCCTCTGGCAAACACTGAAAGTTAAAAAGTTTTTTTATTTACATTTCTAGATACTGACAAAGCAATTTGTTTCATTTAAATCTATTTCTTAATCATCATGGCTTAACCACTATCATTTGTTTCATTATTCTTTAAATACCCTAAATCTCTCTAGGAGGATTTTCAATTCTTTTAAATAGCATATATCTATACTTCCACAGCTAATTATCTTATGAATATTTAATAAGTTATTATTACTTCCAGACTTGATTAGGAGAAAATACTGGAGTCCTGGGAAAGTATTATTCTTTGAAAAGTACATTTTGCTGATAGCAAATTTTAATTATTTAACTACTTCGTTGCATATAAGACAACTTCTCTTTGCCAAATCTTAGTTTTTTAAAGTGTCTTTTCATTGTAATGTGAACAAAAAGAGAAAAAAATTATTCTAGCTTTAGAAATTTCCTTTGAAAGCACACACAAAACCTCCCCTAGAGTTGAACAAATTGGCCATGCTCTAGAAATGAACCCAGCTCCTTTCAGCCAAGGGATACTTGAGCCCTTTATTCTTTTGCCCAGAATAGGCATACTAATTAAAGAGCCAATAAATTAAATGTACCCAAGAAGGCAAAAAGATTCAGAAGAAAAGCACCCACCAGAGTACCTAGAGAAAAACACAAGGTTTTTTCAAGTATTTATGTTAGGCACCATCAAGTTAGAACAAACTCCGGAGGCAAAGCTGTTTTTGACAAATGTGAACAGCTCCTACCTTCATTTCAATGACAGTCTGGAGAGCCTTCGTCTTGGCTGGCTCCGGCTGAAGTTGGCTTCTTCGGTGCAATTCCTGGGAAGGAACACGATAGAAATAAGCCTGACGGTTCATCCTTCCGTTACACCATGACCTTTACGCAGGTAGCACACAGCCCACTGGGTGCAGGTTCACTGTGCACAGACATAAACAAGCCACAGGTGATTCTTCCCCCACCCTCTTTAGCATCCCTCCTGCCTGGAGCCTCCGTTCCAGTGAAAAGCTCCTGGCACACACATGCGCTATTTCTGAAACTTCCATCAATAATTAATGTCAACTGTGACAAAGCCAGCAAGTAATCATAGTCCAAATACTATTCAACACTGGGGCTGCTGCCCAGTCATCAAATCATAATTTACTAAATTACATTACTCTGTGCTCCCAATACAAACACAGCATGAAACAGAGGAAAGAAAATGACTTAACGTGGTTGCAAATCCACTGCACGCATGGCATTTTGCTACTGAGGTAGGTTTGAAATGAGCAATTCAAGACCTTTTCAGTACCACTGTGTCACTTTAGGAAGTGAATTGATGTGATGAAACCCTGTGAACATATCTTGCTTCCTAATTTACAGTTTCACTCCTTATTCAAAATCACATCTGTGTGGCACTCATGATGCCAAGAAATTAAAATTGGCATTAATATCAACACTGTTAGCAAGGAGACAAAAATGGTTAAAGCCAGATGCAGACCCAAGAACTCCTAGGATATGACAAATATAACTTTAGGCAAAACACAACATAATTACAATTTTAAGCTGGAAGGTTCACTTTTTGCATGCCTCTTCTCAAAAGAACAGTTCTGTCAAGGCTTTGAAAGTTCCCTTGGCAGAAGAATAAATAAAGATAAGATTTCTTACTTTGTGCTTTGATTTTCTTAATAATAATTAGCAGTTTTATGAAAGTTTTATGAAAGTAGCCAATGAGAGGAATAAACAAAAGTGCTCACATATGTCCATACTGCTGATACAAGTCACCTATGGAATAATTCTATAATACTTATTGCTTGCAGAAAAATCATTTAAATTCAACATGAAGTAGTTTTAGGCCTTCATATTTCACTGGGCTACAAACATTAAAAACAAAACAAACAACAAAAAAAAAAAAAAAAAAAAAAAAACGAAAAGCCACCTTAGGCTTTAGGGAAGAGAACCAACATGACTTCTCGCTCTTCTCAAGTTAAGGCATCAAAATTAACTTTCATTCCACCACTGCCATCTACTATCATCACCACTTCATAAAGACAGAACACATTAATGCAAATATTGCCAGAAAAACAGAGTCCCACAATATAAGATCATTCTTTCCAGAATAATAAAACAATCTTTTGCCCATATTCTATTATATTGTTCTTATTTGCCAGCAGCCCAGGAAGATTTGGTCATGGATTGCTGTGCACATGTCAAGGGACCAGTACTGGAGAATCACCACTTCAGCTCTGGAATATAGCATATTTTCTTCCCAAAGTCATCATTGGAACAAACCAGCAAACCTGTGCAACACTACTTCTCAAACTCCAAGTTGAGAAGAATTTGAATTAGTGCTTCCTAATCATTCAAAGTAGTCTCACATCATTTAAAACATTTCTTTTTCCTAACATATCCTTAGAAGAGATGGAGTCCAGTATTTCCAAATCCGTATTATGAATAGACAGAAAAAGATCTTCTGTCCTTTTAGAGGCATTGGACTAAAATAATCCAGCAACACTGGTCATTTTTTAGGCTCTGTGGAAATGGCAGAGATTTTCTGAGGAATGACCTTAAAAGCAGCTTCCCTTTATTAGCATCTACAATGTCCCTGGCACTGCATGTGTCTTTCAAGCCTCAACACTACCATATGAAGAATCTGACCTGTGTTGTGAGTCCATTGTATAGTATTTCTATCATATGGACAAAATAAATGTAATAACCTCAATAACATAAATAGTAAAATGTAACCACAAAATTAGGAAATTATGAGTTTTAATACAATGCCTTTAATTGTGAGTTTGTACATTTGAACATTAGCTGTTAGACAAGTTTCCAATTTTGATTTTCATGGACCAATACAATCCAGTTCCAGCATACCACTGAGTCAATCACATAAAGACTTCAACCTCCAAAGAAAGCTACCTAGCCTTCAATGTACTTCCAAGATTGTTGGAGTTCACTGGACCAATAAAATTTCATAGATGAAAAAATTGAAGTAAGTAAGTCACTTGTCAGAGTTGCTCCATAGTAGGTGGCAGAATAAATACATTTCACACGTCACCAATTCTGATACCATGTGGCATCAAAAGCATCTTAGTGAAAAGAGCTAAGAATTGAATTCATAGTAATTTCAAACCATAGCCAAACCAAGTTCCATAATAAAAATCTTAAGACACACACACACAAAAAAAAATCTTAAGACAATTTGAGGAGAGAGGTTAAGCTTGCATAAAACAGTAAAAATAATTAAGAAGCAACTAAGTAACACAAATAGAAAATAAAAACCATAGGGTAAAGGCATGTGCTATTATAATTTCTGCCAAGCCAAAAAACATTTTTAAGGGCAAACAGGCAATAACAAAGCTAAATTTGTAGCAATAGTTTTGCAAACATGGGAAGAGTTTTCTTTGCTATAATTATACAAAGTTCCATATAATGTAAACCAGCTCAAAATCCAGTTTGGGCCCTTACACTCCTCGTCACTCCTTAAAAAGTAAAATAAAATAAAATCTCCAATTACCTGAAAATTATAATATTCCTATCTTAACTACACTACATTTCAATCAATCCTGACTTAACAGTTACTGAGAATCACCTTAATTCCTAAGGTGTCAGGTAAATGAAGATTGTAATCCACGTGTGGATATCAGGGGCTGTCTGAAAGTTCCATCTCAGGCACTTCATCCATCTCTAAAATTTTGGATCCTTGAAATGCTCACTCTGTGGCAGAAAAGAGCAGTTGCTTTTTCCCTGTCTGCTGGCTAGAAGTAAAGAACTCCAAGACGCAAGAAGATGGTAGAATCCCAAGTTACAAGGAGCCTGGATTCCTGAAATGCCATAGAAAAAAACCACTGAACACCCACATGGGATGATGGTGTGTGTGAAAAATCTTTGTTAAGTTGGCCTCTGCACTTTCAGATTTTCTCTGCAAAGATCCCACTCCTCTCTGCCTTATCTACTGCAATGACTATAAGGAAAAATAATACCTAATTACCCCTGTGTTGTTTGTAGCTGAACACAAAAGTGTTTTTAATGAATCACAAAAGTGGTTTTAATGTGTGAAGAGATATAACTAGCAAGAATTAACTAATTCTGGTAGTTTTTAAAGGACAGTATTAAATCATGTACAGTGGACTTAGGCTTTTCTGGGACACTGATCTCTATAAGAATTAGATGAAAGGTGTGGATTCTCTCCAGAAATGGGTATAAAAGCACATACAAACAAAATGGTGTGCACTATTTCAGCTGGTTAACAGGACCTGGTCCAGCACCCAGAAGATTCATCTTTTAACCAGACTATAGGCTAAAAATCATTTGCTGAGAAGAAAGAACATTGTATGGAGAGTCAGGAGTCAGGAGGCTATAGTCCCAGCCTGAGACCTTGGGCACATGTCTTCCTCATTCTAAACTACAGAATGAGGAGCTTTATGAATGAGTTTCTTTGAACATCCAGATTTTTAATAGGTAGCTGACTCTGAAATGTTGATCACTGGCTGGTATTTCTAGTTATACCAATTCTCAGCTTTAAAAACATAACAGAAATAGAAGAAAATTAGCCCATCAAAAATTTTCATATCTCACTATGACAGTGTCACCGGGATATATATTTTCCTATAATTTCAAGATGAGGTTGGCCTTAGCTGGTCTATCTAGAGAATTAATAAGAATCTAGAGTCTAGTGAGTTAATGTGGATGGACACTTGCTTCCAAGATGATCCTGGCAAAATAATATTTGTACACACCATCTACTCTCTTCAGGAGAGAGAAAAAAAAAAAAACACCTTAAAAGTTAACTTTCTGTCTAAAGGTAATTCATTATTTTAATCTGACCTTTCCCCTTTACTGTTCTGGTAATCTACTCCTATGGAACAAACCACCCCAAATTTAGTGGTGTCAGACTACCACCATTTGACTATGTTCATAAATTCTAGATCGGGAATTTACAAAGGATAGACTGGGGAAATCTTGTTTCTAAACCATGATATTGGGAGATAGAACAGCTGGGACTGATGGATCCACTTCCAAGAAAGCTTCTTCACTCATATATCTGTTATGTTGGCCAGAAGAAGACTTGAAGGCTGGAATTAGCTAGAATTGTCACCTATATATGATGACACCTATATATGGCCTCTCCATGTGGCTTAGGCTTCTTCACAGCATGGTAGCCTTGGGGTGTTAACCTCTTACACTTAGGTGTAAAGAATCCAAAAGCAAGTGCTTCAGCAAATAAGCCAAGGCTGCATTTCCAGGAGTCGATAGAGCATGGCAGAGGGCAGGGGCTGCACGATGAGATGCTAAACAGGAATCCTGTGATCTGTACCCCACCACTTATCAGATCAACACGGAAGCCATGGGCGCCTATGACAACATGAATCAAGTATTTCAGGAGTTCTCGTTCCTTGCTAATTACCCAATAAATGTATCTGCTTGCTAAAAAAAAAAAAAAAAAAGTTCCAAAGACCTTGGAAGTCCCATAGCATAATCTCTGCCATGCTCTGTTGTTTGAAGCAGTTACAAGCCTGCTCAGATTCCAGGGATGAGTGCCAAAGAATCTGAAGCCGTATTTTTAAATTACCACTCTTGAGGAACAAAAGCAGTTGAAGAACTGACTGGAAAGTAACACTATGATATCAAACATCAACTTTCATTGTTTTAAATTTGGCAGATTCATATATTCAAATAATAATTTGTTGTAAGACATATAGGAAATACAATAGTACACCTAGCAGACAAATTTCCCAGCCCTTATGGGTTTTTCAATTTCAAATTCCAATGAGAAAGAGGTACAATAATTTAAAGAGGAGACCAAACCAGTTTGTTGTAAGTGCTTTAAAGGAATATAAGA